ATTCATAACTGATGCTTTATAACTCTGTTTAATTAAAATGTTGTGCAGTTCTAAGTAAAAATCCTTTTAAAAGTTTATTACACCTTCCAGAGGAAAATGAATTATTTGTTGTCCTTTGGAAGCATGAAATGAGATTTCTATTAGACCTCTGACCAGCCTTACTAATTCTTTAATGAGTCACATAACACCCTTTTTTGGTATTTATCCAGAACATTATCCATAGATCTAATGTTATTGGATCTACATTTACTATATATCATCTAAATGCCTTTCCTGAAGACAGACACCAACCTGGCACGTTTTTAGCTTTCTAGAATTGCCCTAATATATCAAGGTTTACTAAAGAGGAACATCAACAGGCAAGGGCTCTCTGCAGTCAGCTGTTTCTGTGCTCCTGGACCACAGTTATCCCTAAAAGACTGGAGCTTCACTTGGCTACTAATGGACTGAGATCTATTAAATCACAGTTAAGTAATCCCACCACGTATCTTCCTGTTTCTTTACAAACATAGATCATAAATGTTCAATGGACACTTCTGCATTGTTATTGACATTTTAATCATGTCCATCTAGTAATGGGCCAGAAACATTACTGGGGTTTTCTCGGATTTAGCCATGACAGGTATGGATTTCCTTGGATGTGCTTCACTTCCAATAACTACTCTGCTTCTCATAACTTCTCATTTATATCAACACTTTTTTATTTCCTGCTTTCTCAATTTTGGCTTTTTTTTTTTTTCATTTTTTGTCACTCTTTCCAGTGCACTAATAAAACAGGAGTTGTCAATATATTTTCTCTCTTGATTTTGAAGTTGTGGCTCTTTGATCGCCCAATGGACTCTTTAAAAAGAGCTTGCAATTTCCTTTTTTAGACCTCTACCTAAATTTTCCTTCCTGCTTGCACTCTTATGGAGTGAGTTGAAAATACAGCTCTTTTAAAGGACCAGATATATGCAAAGTCAGGTCATGAGCACTGCTACCCTGCCAACCACTGAATTGCAACCCAGAGGTTTTTGTTTGGGTTTTTTTACTTACTTCATTATAACACAGTCCAAAAGAATTTACCTTGTGCCACATGCCAAATGGCTCGTGTCATTTTTAGTAACTTAAGTGACATTTTATTATTTTACCCATATGGTCTTGTGCTACTATTTTCTTTATTTAGCTAACTCCTCTCTCTTGAGTGTCTCCCTGCTCATATGTTTATAAAGAGTAATCAAATTCCTTGTTCTGCTAAGCAAACCAAGCCAAGGGCTTTTATTCTCCCCTCACACTTTTGGCCTTCTGCTCTCACTTGCCCTCCCCTGCACCTGCCTCCACTTCAATTAATTTTTTCTTGCATAGCGATGTTTTGAACGGTCACGTTGAAGGGTAACTATTTAAATTTTAAACACCGTTATGTTTTTGGGGTACGAAGAAAAGCTTGTCCTGTGCCATGATTTTTACAGTAACTCATCTCCTGTCCCACCAGTTATTAGAGGGACTTAAGAGGCAGATACACCACAACCACGTTCCAGAATGTTGGAATATGCCACAAGTAGATTTGCACTCCTACCTTTGTGCTGCTTCGTGAAGGTTTATTTATTATGCTTCAGGCAAGGCAATAACAATCATGAGCAAGTGTCTCTCCCTCACCCATAAGCGTGACCTCATTTTCCTCTGTTACCTCCCACTCCCCCGCCCCACATCAGAGTCTTCCAATTGCAGCCCTTTATTGTAGGGAGGCTCTAAGAATTTTCACCAAGTGCACGTTTTCTGCCAGACTCCTCCCAGATTCCTTAGCACCGAGGAATAAGGAATAACAATCAGAATGTAAAAGCTCTTGTTTTTCTGTTTTGGAAACATTTCTCTAAGGGACGGACAGTGTTATTCTCGAATCCTTACGACAAACATGGCAACACAGCCTTATAATTTTCTCCCTCTGTATTAAAAATTTGTGCCAATAAAACCAAACTTCCTGCTTTTTGCAAAGCATGACTCACATCCTCCATTCTGTTTCGACTGACTGACATAAGAGATCTATTTCAGTCATATGACAATAACTTTGAATCTGACTAGCCACTTATGTGGAAATCAAAGCCTGTTCTTGCAGGCTGGATGGATGTCAACAGGAATGGTGTTTTACCTAACTCCACTGAGGATCTGCCTGCTTTTCCCGAATAACTCGCTCTCGGAACATCAAGGCACAGCAGTGAGAGCCCAGCATGCCACCTCGTGGCTGCCCTGTGCCCAGGGCCATTCGTAGTGCCCTGGAACTGGATCATTTATAGCCTCCCTTTTCCAGGAGAATTCAGACCATATGTTGTAATTAACATACCAGCACCCCTGCTGGAGTCTTTTCACAAGCAGAATAAACCCAAGTAATTCTTCATCCAACAGATCAAACCAGAGACAGGCAGTGAGGCAGGTGTTATTCAGAGGAAATATCACTGAACTGGAGTTTGCAGGATAAAAAATTAGGTCACAGGAATGTAAATTGCTGGGATGTGACAGGCTTGGGGTGCTGCTGCCAACCAGAAAGAGAGTTTATCTGGGAAGATGAGTTAGAAAGGCAAGTGGTGGACCATAGGAATGCTCCTTTTTGAGGACAGTGTCGTTTTAGGCTAGGGTAGCTTATAGTGGTTACAAAACTCCCTGTCAGGGACATATATAAGTTTGACTGACCCAGTTCAACCTCACTCACCTGGCAAGAAGAAAATGATTTTTTTTCTGCCTGCATGGCGAGGTGAGTCAGCACAGGGTCATGGGAATGCCAGAGCCAGCATAAACTCTGTACCCAGGCTGAGAGGGATGGTGGCTGAAGGGAGCGAAGAGCAGGATCTTCCCTTTGTGTCAACAGCAAGCTGTTATCTCAGCTACCATGTAATTTCCTACCATGTAATTTCAGCCTCAGATGCAGAATTCAGCACCCAGAATCACTGTCACCCTCACAGCTTGGTGGGCTGAGCTGCTCCGTTCATCAGAGTGGAGTTTTCTTGGGGTTAACACCTCACAGGTACCACCCTGTTTAACAAGCAGAATGTCTGTTCAAACAAAGCAGGTTCAAACACCTCCTAATAATGAAGCAGGGAGGGTTTGAGTTAGCTCTGGGAGAGGCTTTGACACGGGGCAAACACAGGCTTGTACAAAAGGACTCGAGGTGTTTGCAAACAGAGCTGCTTGTCGCTGAAACTCACAGAAAATCCATTTTTAAAATGTCCAATGCCACGTTTTTGTGCATAGGCAAGGCTCAGCACACCATAAATGAAAGATTTTCTGCCTTCGCCGGAGCTGTAACTCACCAGCAGGTTCAGATAAATTGCTAACAGAAAGCCCATTATGTAGAAGTGGAAATGTTTGTTTCTCCCCATGCAGAGGTACTGCAAGATGTATTTCACGCCAAAACCATCAGCTGTTGCTGTGGGAATATCAACAGGTTTATGACCCCACGCTCTGATGGGATTTGAGAGATGCCCACCTGTAGGGATGTCCTTCCTGAATCAGTGTAAAATGACTGTTCTTTGTTTCAGGTAGCAGTCAAATATTTAGGATACTGAATGGAATAATCATAGAATCATAGAATGGCTTGGGTTGGACAAGACCTTAAAGACCACCAAAGTTCCAACCCCCCTGCCGTGGGCAGGGACACCTTTCACTAGACTGGGTTGCTCAGAGCTCCATCCAACTTGGCTTTAAACACTTCCAGGGATGGGGCAGCCACAGCTTCTCTGGGGAACTTGTGCCAGGGCCTCACCACCCTCACAGTAAAGAACTTTTTTTCCTAGTGTCTGATCTAAACCTACTCTTTTTCAGTTTGAAGCCATTCCCTCTGGTCCTGTCACTACATGTCATTATATGCCTTCCCAAAATCATTCATAGTCTCTCCCAAAATCCAGTCAGCTGTTCCTTCACTTTTACCCTTATTGCACCATGGGAGAGTAGAGTGCTTTGGATCCGTTCTCTCTGAGTATACATGCTGGTAGATGTGCATATTTACACTTTAAATGGGTAACCTGCAGGAAAGATCTTTGCCAGACAGCAGAAAACACCGAGCCACTGTATAGAACCACGTGCTGTTCTTAATAGCAAGTCACCTGCTCGGTACAGAAAGGTAAGGCCTCACCACACTGAGATAAGCCTGGGTAATGATAATAGAGTCTTTGTTGAAATCCCACCCCATTGTTCAAGGACTGGTGTGTCGGCCCAGGGAAAACAAAAGGAAACGTTTCTAGTCCTTGAAAATCACAGCAGAATCACAGAGGTTGGCAACAGAACAAGCCATCCATGCACAGAATTTAAAAAGAGAAGTCAACAGTGGCTTTTCTCTTGTGCAAATAAAAAAGATTATTCTCTACACCACTGTGGTCTGACCTTGGAGTGAATAGTAAGGGGTAAATACCTGCAATTCTCATTCACCTTGGTGGGATTTCAGCCTGGAGAGAAATGAAGTGCCTAGACTTGGTACTTATGTGTCTCCGAGGACTGAAAATGCTGGTGCAGAAAGACTTCAAGGTTGATCTGCCTTTCTAACACGTTTCAGAAATAATTTCAGCAGATGCCAACCCAGGATAGAGGGGGAAAAATATGGTACATGAAAAAAAAGAGTCTGTGTGCTTCAGGACAGGACACTTCCATGGGGTTTCATCCTGATCCTCCTGCAGGGTGAGTGAGGGATTAGTGAGTTATGGTTGTAATGTTGCTCAGAGGACTGGTGAAGTTTTTAATTTCACAGAATATTCCAAGTTGAGAGGGTCCCACGAGGATCATCACATCCAGCTCTTAAGCAAACGGCCCATACAGGGATCAAACCCACAAACGTTCGTGTTTTTTTAGCACAGTGCTCTAACCAGAGGAGCTGATCTCAGTTTTCACGTTCATGTTGCAACTTCCGAAAGAAATCATGCTACAAAGTTGAGTAAAAGTCCAAGAAAGGCTCTTCCTCAACTTCGTTGACACCTGTGAGTTACAGTAACCCCCGGGGGCTCAGTGCATCGCCTGGGCCGTTCAGGGGCTCCCCCCGCCATCCCCTCTCCACCCGCATCCCCTCCAGATGGGACACTATGCGGGAATGCCTGAACCCCTCCCGCCCGATGCAACGATACTTATACCCGCGCATACATCGATGCAACAAGTTGCTCCGGGGAACTGTCGGGCATTGTGGGAGCTGTAGTTCCGCGGCTCGCAGCACTACAAGTCCCATCCTCCCGGAGGAGGGAGAAGGAGGAGGCGGTGGCGGAGGAGGAGGAGGAGAGGAGCCGGCACGGCCCAGGCCTGCAGCCCGTGAGGAAGAGCCCCCCGGGGGCGGGCCGCGGCGGCATGCGGCTCCCCGGCCGGCTCGCCCTGCTCCGCAGCACGCCCCTGGCTGCCCGGCCGCCGGGGAGGCTCCGAGCGGGGCGGGCGGCGGCGCGGCGCGGCTTCTCCCGCGGGCGGCTCGGCGGCACCATGGCAGAGGAGGCCAAGAGACGGGCCGCCTGCGCCGCCGTGGACAAGCACGTCCAGGTGAGGCGGCCCCGGGGATGCTGCGGGGCACGGAGGGACTCGGAGCGGCTGCCCGGGGGGACGCGAAGCCTCCCGGGGCGCACGGGCGGACCCCGGAGTGCGCGGAGGGGCTGCGGGCATCCCCACAAAGCAGAGAGTGGCTGCAGGGTGCAGGGACCCCTCTGAGCACAGAGCGGCTCTGGGGTGCAGGGACCCCCTCAAAGCACAGAGCGGCTGCGGGGTGCCTGCCCCGATGCAGGCAGTGGCCGAGGGGCGCACGGAGCTCTTCCAAGCGCACGGAGCGGCTCCGGGACGCCGCGACAGGCTCTGCGGTGACGGGACCCCCTTCCTTCCCCCTCGCCCGCCAATACGCGGAGCCTTGTAGGGGTGAAGGGAGTCCCCAGCACATAGACTGGCCCTGGGGTGCAGGGACAGGCGCTGGGTTGCCGGGACCCCCCAGTGCAGGGAGCGGCCGTGGGGTGCACGGAGCTTCCAAGTGTACGGAACTGCTCCAGGGTGCCCGGACAGGCTCTGGGGTGCCGGGACTCCCCAAGAGCACAGAGCGGCTGTGGGGTGCAGGGGGACCCCCCAGTCCACGCGGTGGCCATGGAGTGCACGGAGCTTCCAAGCGCACGGAGTGGCTCGGGGGTGCCGGGACAGACTCTGGGATGCCGGGACACCCCTCCTCCGCCAATACACGGAGCGGCTCCGGGATACCGGGACAGGCTCTGGAGTGCCGGGACAGGCTCTGGAGTGCCGGGACAGGCTTTAGAGTGCCAGGACAGGCTTTAGAGTGCCGGGACAGGCTCTGAAGTGCCGGGACCCTTCCCCGCCAATTCATGGAGTGGAATTGGGGTGCACGGAGTCCCCGGGAGACAGAGTGGCCCCGGGATGCCGGGACAGGCTCTGGGGTGCCGGGACCCCCAATGCACGGAGCGGCTGTGGAGTGCATGAAGCTTCTAAGTGCCCGGAGCGGCTCGGGGGTGCCGGGACCCTTCCCCACCAATTCATGGAGTGGCATTGGGGTGCACGGACTCCCCGGTAGACAGAGTGGCCCCGGGGTGTTGGGACAGGCTCTGGGATGCCGGGACTCCCCAGTGCACGGAGCGGCCACGGGCTGCACGGAGTCTCCCGGGGCATGGACGGATCCCGGGACTTGCGGAGCGGCTCCGGGCGCTGGGACAGGCTCTGGGTTGCCGGAACCCACAGACCACGGAATGCACGGAGCGACTCGGAAGTGCCGCGATCCCCAAAAGCACCGAGGGGCCACGGTGTGCAGGACCCCCTAATGCAGGCAGTGACCACGGGGCCCGCGGAGTTCCCTGGAGCAAGGACGGACCTCGGGCTGCGCAGAGCGGCTCCAGGTGCAGGGACAGGATCTTGGGTGCCGGGACCCCTCAATGCACAAAGGGGCCGTGGGGTGCACGGAGCCTTCCAAGCGCATGAAACGGCTCCGGGTGCAGGGACAGGCTCTGGGGTTCTGGACTCCCCAGTGCATGGATGGGCTCCGGGATGCACAGATCCCCCAGCACACCGAGTGGCCCCGGGGTTCAGGGGTAGGCTCCGGGCTCCCAGGACCCTCCAGTCCTGGAAGCAGCCGTGAGGTGCCCGGAGCCTCCCTGCATGAACAGGCTTCAGGTTGCACGGACCCCTCCAGTGCATGGAGCAGCCCTGAGGTGCATGGATGGGTTGTGGGGTGCACGGACGACCCCACTTGCAACATGGACAGTCCCGGGGTGCAGGGATGGACCCTGGGGTGAACGAACAGAGCTTCTTTCTCCTTCGTTTTGGACTGTGCTCCTTTAGTTGGCAGAAAGGGAGAAAACTACTTTTCCCTTCCCCAGTGATCACCTCCCTGGCAGCAGCTCTATGGCTTGCCCAGCTCAGTACCAGGCACGCCGAATTTGGGGTAGCGTCTTGCACCTCCAGACTTTCACTGTGAACCCTCCTGTGAGCTGGGCTCTGGTGGGAGTTCAGGCTGATGCCGTGCCCTGCTCCTTCTCCAAGTCCAAGTGCTCTGCTGCTGCACCCCATTTCTGAGCACCCAAGCAACAGCCCCAAACCAGGGAGTGGTGTCCTGTCCTCTGCGGGGAGGGGAGTGCAGCAAGGGGCTTGAATGTCAGATAGGACTGGAGCTGCTCGAGGTTTGGCACAGCCCGATGGTGAATGCTTGGAAGATCAACGGTTAAAGTCCCACAGGGGTTTATCGCAATGTTTTCTGTGCCAGCCCTTTCGCAACAGCAGTGATGAAACGGGCGAGGAAGAGTTGCTGCCAAGGAGTTAGATATTAGCAGTTGGGGGGGTGGGGGGAACTCCCTTTCTCTTCCTGCTCCCCCCCCTCTCTCCCCCACGGGGTTAGTGTTTTGAGGTTCAGTTGCTGAGGGCTCCCTGTATGGCCTAAAAATGTTTGGCTTGTTTTCCAGCCTTGTTCCTCTGAGCAGTCTGTCCCTGCCTGAGAGAGAACAGCCACATGCTGAGACCTCCCCCCTGCCAGGCTGACTTGATCAAAAGTAGTTTGTGGGATGGGGGAGCTTGGGGGTTCTGACAGTTGCATAAAAATCCCCTTTCTTACCCAGGGCAAGCAAAAATTGTTCATTGAGGTGTAGCAGAAGGAAGTTATGTCAGGGGAGGTTTAGGCTTGATGTTAGAAAAAGGTTCTTCACACAGAGGGTGGTTGGGCAGTGGAACAGGCTCCTTGGGGAAGTGATCACAGCAACAAGGCTGGCAGACTTCAGGAATGATTTGGATGATACTCTCAGGCACATGGTGTGACTCTTGGGGAGGATCCTGTGCAGGGCTGAGGGTTGGACTCGAGGATCCTTGGGGGTCTCTTCCAACTCGGCATATTCGGTGATTCTGTGACTTGGGTTGCAAGTTGTGGAGCCAAGGCACAACAGCTGTTGCGAGTTATCCTGAGCGGGATATGCCTTTGATTTGGGGTAAAGCCAGGACTTTTGGACTTTTCCTAGTGAGATAGCTGGCCTTTGTGCTGTGTTATGGTCAAGCAAACTTAGGATAACGTTTCTGGCTGTGTCCCAGCTGACTGAAGTTCAGTGCCCAGCTAGTGACACTGATTAAGTAAATTAGGCAGTGTCTGGGGCAATACCCTAATGCTTGTTGAGCAAGTTGGCTTCAACCAGCAGTGGAGAAGCAGGTTAGAGTCAATGTCAAAGAGTTGGATGGTCTTGTCTGTCAGTTTGCACTCTCAGGATGCAGTTGCCCTTTGTAATGAGTAAATTTATGTTTGGTTGTTAGAGTTATCACTGTTAACCGAGGGAGCAACCTTATCTCCGAAAACAAAGCCAGAGGCTCCCTTCCTTGCACAGCAGGAATGTGTGGGAGAAGCCACTGACTTCAGGGTTTGGTTCTGCTGCACAAATCTCTCTTGCTTAATTGTGCTGTAAATCCGTGGCACTGGAGGCTTGGTACTGGTACTGGGTGAGGCTCCTCTCTTGGCATCCTCCTTCACACCCATCCCTGCCTGTGCCAGCTCAGCAGCTCCTTGTGCACTCTGTGGCAGGTGTAAACCTGAGGGTGGATGGGGGGATTAGGAGAGGAGAACTTGTTTCACTCTATTTTTTTTTTAAATTAAAGCCAGCTTGTGTACCCACAGCACTTGTCCACGGACAGCTGTGGGAGCGGAGTTTCTGAGCTCTGCAGGAGACACTGCGATGACCAACCTCAGAAGCCGTGGGCTGGGTGGCCATGACGGCTCAGAGGAGCAGGGCTGCCACAGGGCTTGGGGCTTTAGAGCTGTAAGCTGCTTGGGGAGAGCTGGCTTTGCATTTATACAACACCTCTGAGGGCAGGCCTTGCGAGCGCCTCCGTTAGAAATGAAAATACGGGTGAGAACCCAAGGTCCTGCTGCCCCAGAGAGAACTGAGCAAGCTTTGGGCTTTGCTCTATATTTATCTCTTGCTTTTAGCAGGAGCTCTTTGCTCTCTAATCTTGGAAACTAGCACTGGACCAGTCCGCCCCTGCGCTGATACCGCTCAATGTGCCTCGCCTTGTCAGCTTCTGTAATGCTGTGCAGTGTCTTTAGGCCCTTGGGTTAGCTGAGAAAACGCTGTGGTTGCTGCCAGCTTCACCCATACGTGGGTCTTCAGCTGTGCTGTGTCTCAGTGCCTCGGTTTTGTTTGCTGGGGTTTTGGTAAGCCATCTGAAATGTAATTTTTTTTCACGAGGTGCCGCTCCTTCAGTGCTCTGCTTCTTGCCAGTGTTTGCCCTGCTCCTGTTTTTTAAAGTGGATGCTTTCTGGTTGGTTTTGTCCCTGGGGTTGGAGCTGAGGAGGGAGAGCTGGGAGCTGTGGTAAGGCAGGGGTTGTGACAGCACCAGTTTAGACTGACTTTAAACTCTTTTTCTGGGGAATCCACTTCACCCAAGCTCATATCACCACCTGAGGGAGGGTGCTTCACCCCTCATCGCTGATAAATGGATGACCTGGGACCCTGGTGAACTCTTCCCCTTTCATTGCAGTGGAGTGGCTGATGCTGAGGCTTTCCCCATCCCTTTAGGGCACCCAGCTGCTCCAGGAAGCTGTCCCACCCTACAGAAATGAGGGCAAAGAGAAGAAACTGCCCTTTCCCAGGTTGAAATGAGTCTCTTGGGAACACTGGTACTGCCCACGTCTGTGCAGCTTTGCTTGCCCCTTGGCTGGCCATGCTTGGCTCTGCCTGATGGGCTGGTGGAACTGAGAAGCCTCGGGAGCTATTGGGTTTCTGCTGGCAGTGCTGCAGGTGTGCAGCTCTGGCCTGTTGCTTTGCCCATCTTTTGCAGAGCTGGCGAGGGCTGAGGTGTAATGTGAGTCTCTGGTTTTGGAGATCTGTTTTCTTTAAGCTTCTTGCAGAAGCAAGAGAAGTGAGTAATCCTGGGGGAGCGTGACCTATCTGGAGCTCCACCTTTCCAGGCAAATCAGCATGCCAGAAAGACTTTAGCTGGTTGAAGTGCTGCAGATGTGGCTTTTTCCACAACTGCCAAACTCTGGATTTGCTGCACATGGGGAAAGAGCTCCAGATCTGCCCAGTGTCCAAGAGATAACACAAAACAGCTCTGGGCCTGCTTCTCTAGCTGGCTCCGAGTCTTTCTCATCTGAAGTCTCTGTAGTGATACTGGGCCTCTTTAAGTCAATTTAAGCTTTGGATCCCATCCAAAGGAAGGGAATTACAGTGAAAATGGGAAGAGTGCAAGAGGCTACAGGGAGTGGGAGACTAAGCTGATAAAAACCAGAGATTTGTGTGGCAGTGGAGACGTCTTGCAGAAGTAGCACAAGTGCACCCATCCACCCTCAGCCTGCAGCACCTTTTAGGAGTGTACCTGTGTTACAGATGAGACAGTAACAGTCCTTCTTAAACTAGACCATAAGCAGAGAAAGGCCAGGATGGAGCTGTGGTTAAAATTTGATCCTCTTCATCACGAGCTGCCAGGATCACCCACCTTCCAAGTGTTGCTGGACTCTCATATAGGCAGTTTTACACTGCCTGTTTTGGAGAACAGTTTTTATTATCCACAGGAACAGCTGCTGCGCTCTCTGCTTTGGCTGCTGGTGCATCTGGGCTGTTTACTAACAATACAGTTGGCAGCAAACCCAGGCTTTTACTGTTCGGCTTCCTCGGGAGATGTTATCTTGAGGTTGTTTCCGCTTCTTCCTCTGTGCTGTTTTTCCAAACTCCCAGCTTTCTGGCGGGAGAGGATGGATGCAGTGCCAGCAACTAGCCATGAGTGTGCACTGAACACCCCGAGATCAGGGCAGGGTGGTAATTAGCAAGCACATGTTTTTTTAATGAGAGGGCAAGTTGCTTAAAACCCCTTGGCCTTGGACCACGGCCGTGCCCTCACTGGCACAGTGTGTTCCCTTCCTTGCCTGCAGCGTTGTGTATCGTCTTGCATCTCTGGGCAAGGCTCCCCTTGCATGTGTTTATAAGATCAGTTTTACCAGGAAAAGCGGACAGCTTGTGTGCTGAGCCCCCAGTAACAGCTCTCTCTGTCTCTCTTTGATTTGCAGAACAATCAAGTTCTCGGGATCGGAAGCGGTTCTACGATCGTACACGCGGTGCATCGATTAGGTAGGGTGCTCCCCTTCCTGGCCCTCCCACCACAGACAGTCCTCTTGTCCATCTGCCCCAAACTACTTGAAAAGCACACTAAATCATCTGGGTGCTGACCTATAGCTCATGCCTCGGGTCATTGCGGGGGATGTTGTTTGCCCCTTGTTTGGGACCGCTGGGTTCTCCTTGAAGCTGAAGGTTAAAGCAGGGCTCCAAATTTATGGCATAGAGAGTCCTGAGGAGCTAATGATTTGCCACCTGTTCTGCCCATACAGCCAGGAAAAGCGCTCTGCTGGCACCCACCACAAACTGGAGCTAAACTCCTGGGTCTTGTTCCAGCTTTGCCCAGCTCTGCCCAGTGCTGACTTGCCGTATGGCTTTGGGCCATGCAGCTGCTCTGCTTCCTTTAACCCGTTCATCTGCAGCTCACACTGCTTCCCACATTCACACTGAGGGGCCTGCTGAATGAGAGGAATGAAAATGAGGAATGTGAAATCCTCCTGCATTTTATTTACATACCCTGCAACTGGGTTTATCTGCTTGCCCCTGGGGACAGGTTTGCTCAGGGTGTGATTCAGAAAATTTCAGTAAGAAAATTTCAAGTGAGGCAAGTGCAATTTTGCAAAGAGAGTATGGGGGTTAATTATCCTCACGCCTCATTACAGAGTGTGCAGAGGTTTAAAGTTCCTTTGCAGGGCACTCTCAGCCCCAGGGCAGATCTGCCTGTGGGGGTGCTGAACCTTGGATGTCCTTGGATGTGGAACAGAGCAGCTGTGGGTGCCATGGCAGGTCGGGAGTGCAGGATCAGCCCTGTTGTTCTTGAGGGTCTTGCTTAGACACAGAGGGGGAAAGAACAGAATCATAAAGGTTGGAAAAGACCTCCAAGATCATCGAATCCAACCATTAACTCATCACCACCGTGTTCACCACTAAACCATATTCCCAAGTGCTACATCAACACATATTTTAAACACCTCCAGGTATGAAGATTCCACCACTTTCCTGGGCAGCAGAGTTCAGTGTTTACCACCTGGGTGGCTCTGCGTGGCTGAGGAGTCCCTTGGTGACCTCCAGCTGCCTTGGGCAGAGCCATCCCACAGCCCACGTTGGGCTGAGCACGGGGCATCTCTTGTCTTTGCAGGGACACAGCAGGGCTGGTGCTGTGCCTGTCCCTTGTGGCACCCACTGGCCCCACGCTCTGTGTGTGTGTGTGATAACCCTTTAATTGTCTGGGAGCTGCAGTTCAGCCTTCTGGGTTTGGCTCAGTGTTGCAACCACTCCTGCCCTCAGCACAGAATGAGCCTCTAAATAAGTGGGTATTGTATTTAAAGAGGAGTGCCTGTTCCAGGCTGCAAATTCTGGCTTTTCAGGCCTCCTGACTGCGTTTGCTCAGGGATGTGGCTTGTAACGACATACAGCCTCATGTGTTGCATCTTCAGTCCTTCCAGCAGCAGCGTTACCTTGGCTTGCTCTGGTGCTCTTGCTGGCTCTCGGGCTGTTGGCTTGTGCCTAGTATTGTAATTACTAAAATAACATTTTGTCCATAATGATATCTTAGTAATAGATTTTAGTCATTTGAGGTTAGCCTCAGGGAGGAAATATTTCCTTCCATTTAATGGAATACTGTACTTTATTAGTCCTTTCCCTGCCATATATTTAAACGTTCTATAATAAATTAATGTGATGTCCCCGGGGCAACAAGCCAGCAAACCTTTCAGACAGCTGCTGGAGCTCTCTGTTTACGTGGGGAGCAGCAAAAACCTGTCTAATGGAGTGAGAGAGGGGAGTGGGACTAATTTTCCAGGTGAGGATTTGCTGATGGGGCTCCTCTGCTGCTGGAGACATAAAGGTTAATGGCTCATAGTGGCTTGGGCTGAGCCAGGGTGGGTGTTTGAACATTTCTGGCTATTGAAACTGAGCTCCAGCCTAAGCAGGGTGGCACCTGTTTGCATTTTGAGCGTGACTGAGTTATTTGCAAGCCAAGCAAGTAATTGCAATGAATCAGAGGGGCTGCTCCAAACTGAGATTTCTTAAAGTGGAAGTTGGTGTGTTTTTTCCTTCTATAATGAACAAACCGAGGCTTCTGCTTTTTTTCCCTACAGCTGAGCGGGTTAAAGAGGAAAACCTGACAATTGTCTGCATCCCTACATCTTTTCAGGTGAGCACTTTCCTCCTTTGCTTTCTGCTATTCCACTCATGGACTGAGTGGATCTTCCCCTTAGTGAGTTAACCCAAAGCGCTGGTGAAAGCAGTCGTGATGCAGCCTGCAGAGAGATCCCATGGAGGTGATGGTGCTGTGTTACCCTGACCTGAACTCAGGGATGCCCTAGGGCTGGGAGGTGTGTTTTGAACCATTGTGGTAAGGCTGGTTGTGTCAGGGTTGGTGTGCGGCTTCCTCTGGATCCCACTTGCAGAAAAATGCTGTTTAGTGGTGAACCAGACTTGTAATGCAAAGCTCACTGGAGACTCTTTGAGTCTGTATCCAGCCCTGAAAGCTGTAAAGAATAATAGTGAGCTTCTCTGTTTTCAGGAGGAGCTTAAAATGCATCAGCTGGATTTTATAAGAAATAGCAGAAGAGAAGTTGGCTTAACCTTTCCTTGGCTGCACAGCTTTTGCAGGAATTGGCTCGTACTAAGCCAGATGTAGAGAGGTTTGCAGGCAAAGGGGGAACCTGGCTTGGTGGTGATATGCAGAGCTGCTGGGAAAGCTGCTGAGCTGCTTCTGTGCCTTTGACAACTAGCTTTGGTCTCTTTGCCTCAGTTCCCTGAGGTGGGAATCTCCCTGTGGGCAGGGAGAGGTGACAAAATGGGGACCACTACGGGGTTTTCAAGGCTGGGTGTCATTACCCTGCTCAAGGAATTGGGTGAATCCTTCTCACAGACCTGGTTATGGACCTGGGGGTTATACTATTGTCCCAATTATATCACTGTGAGGAGACTCTAGGAGTGCAGGAGAAGGTGCAGAGCTTGTGCTATGAGGTTTTCAGGAAAAAACTGAGTGGGTAAAGCCCTGAGCAGCCTGGTAGCTGACCCTGCTTTGACCTGGAGGTTGGATAGAGACCAACCTGAATTATCCTAAAATCCTATGAAAACTTAACATCCTCTTGCCCTGCAGATGTTTAAATGTGAGTGTGGAGTGAGAGGACTCTCTGTTTTCCCAGCTGTTGCAAACATCCAGTGGCCAACTGAGGTATAATGCAAGGTGCTGCAAAGGGCAAAAAGTGAAAAAAAAAAAAAAATTTTTTTAGCCTATATCAGTACTTCTGTTGCATATATAGACTGTGGTGAGAGTCTTGTCTTCAAACTTGCTAAAATGATTCCCATCCTGTTATATTCCCACCGTGATACCATGTTCCCTTTAAACCTAGGCAAAGTGCTTTGAGTTCAGCCTGTAGGTCTTAAAGAAAGTTGATGAAGCTCCTGTAGTGAACACGAGCTGGAGCCTGTCCTGCCTTGAAATGTTGGCGTAGTTCATTTAACACTGCAGAGTTTCTTACCAGTAAAACAAAAGGGTTGCTGCTAAAGGGAAGAGATAGACCCACAGCCAAAATCCCCAGCATGGGGCTGCCCCAGATCTTTTGCAGTCCTTTAGACCTCGACCAGTTCCTACTGAAAACGTTCCCGGGTCAGCAAAACAGCATTTTATTTTCACTACGTACAGGTGTAAATGGCTGCCTGAGGTCACTGGCAAGGAAGAATTGGTTTCAGTGGGCTTTTATACTCCTCCCTTCCCTGTTGTCAGGTTGGGTTATTTCCATCACCACCAGTAAAGCTAGAGCCGGGGTAAGTATCTGTCCCTTGGCTTTTGCGTGGTTTCTTCTCACCTGGACGTGTGCCCAGAGCACGGAGTGGGACTGTTCCTGGCAAGTGCTGTGCAGTTACCACCACTTTTTCCCCCAGTTGTGGGAGCTCTGCTTTTGGTTCCTGGCTGGTCTGCTCCCGTTGCCTTGCAAGCAGAGCCCGAGGAAATCCAAGACACCTCGTTTTCACACTTGCTGACTCTTAAGCCTGTTCAGGATCTGGCCTGCATGTGCAGCACAGTGTTTTTCGATGCTTTCAATTCCCAGATCCCTGAAATCTTCTTTACGTGGGCACCATGTGATGAATGTCAACCCACTGATTTTTATTCCCTCAATTTTGTGAGTCCTTAGGGCCCCACAGCCCAAGGGTGTTAAAGCTGCATGCTATGAAATGCCATGATAAACTACTGAAATCATGCCTCGTTGCCAGGAGTACCACCTGCTAATTCTAACGTTTCTGGGATGCCAATACATGTGACTGATGCACTTTGTTAGTGTTGGTGGGTAAAATCCAAGGGAATCAGTTGATCCAGGCTGTCACACCGGGGTTTCTTGGTCCAGCTACAGCATGGTGGCAAGTTTGGACTCGAGCAGAGTCTGTGCGAGGAGGGAGTCTCTCTTAGATGATGATTTGTTACACAGAATATTCAACCAATTCAGGATTCTGCAGATGACACCAAGTTGGTTGGGAGTGTTGATCTGCAGAGGGATCTGGACAGAGATGGGCTGAGGCCAATGGAATGACATTCAACAAGGCCAAGTGCCTTTGGTCACAACAATCCCATGAGAGCTCCAGGCTGGGGGAAGAGGGGCTGGGAAGCTGCCCAGCAGGAAAGGACCTGGGGGTGCTGGTCCATAGTGGCTGAACATGAGCCAGGAGCGTGTGCCCAGGTGACCAAGAAGGCCAAGGGCATCCTGGCTTGGATCAGCAATCATGTGGCCAGCAGGACCAGGGCAGTGATTGTCCCCCCTGTGCTGGGCACTGGTGAGGCCTCACCTTCAGTGCCGTGGCCAGTTTTGGGCCCTTCAGGGCAAGAAGGACTTTGAGGTGAAGTTGCAGCCAGGTGGGGGTCGGTCTCTTCTCCCAAGTAACAAGTGACGGGACAAGAGGAAACAGCCTCGAGTTGTGCCAGAAGAGGTTTAGATTGGGAATTAGGAAAAGTTTCTTCATGAAAAGGGTGGCCAAGCACTGGAAGAGGCTGCTCAGGGCAGTGGTGGAGTCCCCGTCCCTGGAGGTATTTAAGAGGTGTGTAGATGTGGCACCTGGGGACAATGTTTAGTGGTGGCCATGGCAGGTCTGGGTTAATGGTTGGACTTGCTGATATAAGGGTTTGTTTTTTTTTTTCATAACCTGAACGATTCTGTGATTCCCAGTTTAAACTGAGGGATTGAACAGCTCTGGGCACTCTGTGATATGTTGCCACTAGAGGGAAATACACAGCCACTTCAAGAAAAGCAGATGAGAGCCACCAAGTAGCTGTTTCAGGAGCTTCCCACACTTTTTTCCACACTTTTGAGTTGTGCTTTTTTCCTTTTTTTTTTTTTTTTTTTTTTTTTAGTTTATTTCCAATATGAAAAATATTTTCATTGTTGGTCCCACATTGCTGTGGTGTAAATTTTTAATTTTCTTGCTCACATTTTTCAGCCAAAGGAGATCAGAGAGACTGGATGAGTGCAAGGGAGAATGATTTGCAAGCTGAAACAACACAGGACTCAAAAATTCCATGTCTGCTTTAGTGCTTAGATACAAGGGATTCCCACCAAGCTCATGGGGCCTCCTGCTGTTTAGTATGAAGAGATCTGAATCCAGGAGTCCTGTTGCACCATCTGAGCATTTTTATTCACATCAGCAGCAGGGTTTTATTTCAATTAAAGTCCTCTGGTCTGGAAGCATCGTTTTCTCCTCGCTGTTCCTGCTGCTGGCTGCAGCCCCTCCACCAGCTCAGAGAGGAGCAGTGGAGCTCTCCCAGGGAAACTCCATCCTTGCTGCAGCAGGGCAATGACACCACAAGCCTATTTTCCTTTCCTGCCCCTGGTAAATGGTGTTTGCTGTCTTCTTGGTGCACAGGCCCGTCAGCTGATCCTGCAGAACGGCTTAACACTAAGTGACTTGGACCGACATCCAGAGGTAAGTGGGAGTGCAGAGGTGAGACCTCACCTGACCTTCCTCTCACCTGATCCTTCACAAAGCATCAGGCTCCTTTGTCCTCCCCTGAGGATGAGTTTGGGCAGCCACACTGCAGAACATGAGTGAGAACTCGTGAGTTAAAACAAGAGGGAATGGCCTGAAGTTGCACCAGGGGAGGTTTAGGCTGGATACTGGGAAAAATTTCTTTGCTGAAAGGATGGTCAAGCTTTAGAACAGGCTGCCCAGGGAAATGGTGGAATCACCATCCCTGGCAGTGTACAAAAAACACATAGATATGATGCTTAGGGACATGGTTTAGTAGGGACCTGGCAGTGTTAGTTTAATGGTTGGACTCCATGATCTTGTCCAAACCTAAGGATTCTATGATTCTAACTTAGTTTTTTTCCCCCAAGCCTTAGTGTTGTCTTAGTTCTTGTCCCTTTAGATGGCAAGTAGGCTGCTGGGCTGTGCTTTCTGCAGGTGTTAGGCATCTCATCCCGACTGAGGCTTGCTGGCCTGAGGCAGGGATATTGTGCTGCTGGACTGTGGCCAGGGTTTTCCCCGGGAAAATCTTGCCTGCTGGTCCTCAAATGATGCTAGAGGATGAAGTGATGTGCCTTGCAGGGCCAGCAGTTGGTTGTGTGTGGTTTCTCTTCCTCCTCTTCTCACATGCCTGTGGTTTAGAGTGGCTGCTCCTCTTCCCACAGCTCGACGTTGCCATCGATGGAGCGGATGAAGTGGACTCTGACCTCAACCTTATCAAAGGTGGCGGGTGAGCCCTGCTGTCTGTCTGTCTGTCTGTCTGGGCATGGGGCTGGTGGTGGGGGGGCCTCTGTCTGCATGTGGATCTCTCTCTAGGGTGGGCTGAAGAGGCTGAGGGGACCCTGGGTTGGGCTGGAGAGGCTGATGGGAGCCTGTGCAGGGCCGTGTGTGCACCCACTGTGGGAGATGGCCCCTGACCAAGGGTGTGTGCAAGGGACAAGGGGGATAAAGTGATGGGTGAGGATGAGGAGGATAAGGGGTGGGGCAATGGCAGCACCGAAAACAGCGAGCACGTGGTGGAGGGGACTGGTCTTCGAGGCCATCAGGCACAGTGAGGAGCAGTCTGATGTTTCCTGGTTTTATTTTTATTTTTTTCCCCCCTTGCAGTGGCTGCTTGACACAGGAGAAGATAGTTGCAGGATACGCAAAGTGCTTCATTGTTATTGCTGATTACAGGTGAAAATATTATTATCATTATACCTCTGGGAGGATTGGATGGTCCTGTGTTAGGCCATTGTTTTCCTTCCAATGGGTCAGGGGAGCAGGAATAGGTGGAAATGAGCGTGGATCACAGTGCTTCAGCAATTCATTTTATCTTTTTTCCTTAATTTTCAACTTAGCAAGCCTACTTGCGAGTCAGCAGAACTTGTGGGCAAGTGTCTGCTCTGCTCTCTGAGCTCAGTGATTGTCGGCACAGGATAAATTTCCTGTTCTGTACAGACAGCCATGGGGCTGTGGAAAAAACAGCTCCTGTCCTTGTCCAAAAAATGTCAAAACAGAGCTTGTGAGTGGATAGAGCATCATGTATTAAACTGGCTCATCCTGCACATGGGCATGTGTGAACTGATCACTGTTCCCTCCTGGGTCTTGTGCCTGAGGGTTTGCAGGAGGGACTGGGATGATGTTAACTAATGTCCAACACCAATCCCACCTCAAACTGTGTCCTCAGGAAAAAATCAGAGAACCTTGGGGAGCAGTGGAAGAAAGGAATTCCGATTGAAGTCATCCCCATGGCTTACGTCCCTGTCACCAGAACCCTGACCAGAAAATTTGGAGGTGTGGTGGAGCTGCGGATGGCTGTCAGCAAAGCGGTGAGTGTCCCTGTCAGCCCTGCTGCCCCAGAGGAACCACCTGAACGTGGGCAAACGGAGGACCAGAGGGTCTGGCCTGTCATCTAGTGAAATTCTGGGCTTTCACTCTCAGAGAGGCATCCTGTGTTATTTCTCCCAATTATATTTTGATTAATGAACTGTGTGTTTGGGTGTTCAGACCTCACTGAACACCTCTCTGGCTTATGTCTCCTAAGGAAGCATCGCAGAGCAGGGAGCCAGAGGGATTGCCTGTCTGGGTCTGACCTGCTGCTCTGTGGGGATGTTAGGGTGCTAGAGGGCAGTCTGTGCTGCCAGAGGGGGTCTTGAGCTGGGGGGCAGCTCGTGCTGGGTGATGGTTGTTGTGGACTGCCCCTATTTACTTGAACGATGACTCCAAACCGTTGCAGTCCCAGTGAGGGCTGTGACAGTCCCTGGCTGAGCTCAGGAGATAAGGAGCTCATTGTCATGACAACTGGGTTTACTTGCCAGGGCCCTGTGGTGACAGACAACGGGAACTTCATCCTGGACTGGAAGTTTGACAAGGTTCATCAATGGAGTGAAGTGAACACCGCTATAAAAATGATACCAGGTAGTTTCTGTGAATTTTTTAAAAAACACAAAAGCTGGCTAAGGGTTGGTCTGTGCTAGGTAACCTGGACTGTGGGAGCTCCCCTCTGGATACAAGGAAAGGTGTGTATTGTGTTTCCTACCTTTCTGTGTGTTCCAACTTTTGTTTCTACTTGAGAAATCTGTCAGCTGAACTGGCACAACTGTACCCACAAAGCTTTTTCATACGGTGGTGAAAACCTGGGGTGATGCTGGTTGATGTTGACACTGTTTCCCATTAGACACAACAGTCCTGTGCTCTTCCTTACTCTCCTTTAGAGTAAGGTGCCCATTTAGAGTTACTTTTAGTGGAAACACTGGTGGACTCTGTGTTATATTTTCCAGCTCCGCATCCGATTTCCATTGGGAAGCCCTACAGGCTCACTTTGCTGGGGGGGTGCAATGTATCCAAGTTCTTGCTGTGCAAAAGCAGCAGTGGCTGATCACTCTGTAAACAAAACAGCCTCTCTACAAGGACTCCTGCTCTTGTCCTTGTCCTCCCTTTCTATCCACCTTCCTGGCCTCTGGCCGTGTCTCAGTGATCACTGTGAAGTTCTAGTTCACCCCGTAATTAAATGCAACCGCAAGTACATTTGCAAATGGGTGACAAATTGCAGAGGTAGCATCAAACCTGCAGAGTTTTAACATTTGAACAAGTGTTATCCAGGTGTTCTTCAACGGGATAGTCTTTCAAATGAGTTTAAAGGTAAAGTGAATGATCCTGTGGGCGCATGTGTAGCTTCCTCTTGCTCCTGTGGGTCACCAGGTGGCTGAAAATGCCTCACTTGTGGTTGTGTTGCTGTAATGGGGGTGGCTGGAGTGGTGTGAACATTGAGGGATTTTTGGGAATTGTTTCTCAGTCTCTGGAGAGTTCCTCCAGCAGCAGGGGGTTGCCTGCATGGGAAAGACTTCCTGGAGGCTCCCCGTGTGGCTGATGGAACATCCACCACTGTTAGACACTTCCCCAAACCTCTGGTGGAGACACTGGTGCCTTTTAATGAACAAAACAAGGGGCAGAGCAGGGGATGCAAGTGAAAGGTTGGCTCTGGCATTAACCAGCATGTGGCCTCTTGTTCCCCAGGTGTGGTGGAGACGGGGCTGTTCATCGACATGGCCGAGGTGGTGTATTTTGGGATGGAGGACGGCTCGGTCAGCGTGAGGGAGAAGCAGCCTCGCTGACAGGGCTCTGCTGGCTCTGCTTTGCCTTCAGCCCAGTTGGATTCAGCTGTTGTAAAGGTGCCAACCTGATGTTTTGCCTTAACAAGCAGCGGTTATCGCAGGAGACCGATGGGAAGCTGATCAGAATCCGCTGATGTGTTACTGAATGTCTTTTTTTAAAAAAAAAAACAACAGACAAACGAAAAAAAAATAGATTCTATTTCTATATATATATTTTTACTTTACAGGAATGTTGTCTTTTTTTAATGAATCATTTAAACAAATTGCTTTAATGTTTTTATTTTATTTTCTAAGAAATACTTACCAAAAAGAATATTCCCTGGTTTTGTGTTTGGGTTGATTTTTTTTGTTTGTTTGTTTTCTTTTTTTTTTCTTTTTTCTTGAAGAGAACTTGAACCCTTCTGGTTGCTCGCAGGGCTTAATGATTGAGGTCAGGAATACAATCCTAATGCATCATTCCTAACCACCCTGGCTGGGAGGGTGACGTGCATAACAGGAGCACATCCAGTTGGGACCTGCTGATGCCTTATTTGGAACCTCTTTGGTTCGGTATTTTATGCCTTTTATTTTTCTATACTGCTGTTTTTTAATAGTTCCGGATGTCTGGTTGTCCTCTGTGCACATGACAATTCTCTGAGCCTAGGGTGGTCTCTACATCCCCCTCTCTGGGACACTGATAAGGGCCTTTTCCTGGCCTCTATATGGAGGAGACTCTCATCCTTTGAGCCAAATTCTGCTCTCATTGATTCAGTACCTCTGATTAAAGTCTGTCCTGTAGCTGGAGATGTTTGGGACTTAATCCTTGTAAACAGAGAGCAGAAGTGGGTCCTTGATGAAGTTTACAGGAGCGTATTTTAATAGCTTAGGGCAGCGTGGAAAACTGTTCAGGGGCAAATGATTTGGTTTGGAATGAAGGTTAATTATCACCCCTCACAGCTGGTTGATTTGTGGAAGGATGCAGCAGAACGCACAGGAAAACGGAGTCTTCCTGCCTCAATTTTCCACATGTAGCAGGAGAGAGACACTCGTTAAATATCTCTTTTTCAGTGTGTAGGTGCTTTGCATGGTTCTGATGTCGAAATGCAAGCCCTCTTTTTGTGTTTTAGACACTGAAATAAAAGAGCTCTTATACCAGACTCGGTCGTAATTTGTGTCTTAAAGTAACTTACTTCGTGGACAAGGGGGCAGATCATGGCCAGACAAACTTCTGCTGTAATTTGCCCTTTACAAGTTCACCCTTGTGCGTTTGATTTCTTTTTGCTTAAGGTAAATACATTATTTACAAATAACCTGATTATCTGCTCAACACTTGTTAACTGCAGTCCTTGCTTCAATAGGGAATGTCTTAAATTTACACATCTAAAACCTGTGCATCTAAATGCAGATCCTTTTTTTTTTAATTATTATTTCAAAAACGAGCTGTTTTTACATCTTTTACATCTATTCTCTTTAATTCTGAAGCACTTGTAGCAAGCAAATGGGCTGCCAACAACTTGCTGGAAGCACTGGAATATCTCTTCCCATAAGCCTGGTGCTCCAGGAGCCATTTGCAAAGCCACAGCTCTTGCCATGGGCTGTTTTCAGGTGCTCTTGGGCTCCTAGTGCAACCCTGGGTAAACAGAGAGCAATCGAGCATAGCTTTGTGCCCAGGTGCCTTCTCACTTAGTGCTGCTGGAAATGAGATTAGCAGGAGCAAAAGCTGCTGTTGACCCTCCTCTCTCTGAAATCAAACAGCTCCTTCTCAAAAAGCCGATAAAACCATTACTGCACCATTACTTTCTGGCCCTGGACCAGCTGTGATCTCACTCAGCTTTGTGCTTAGCAGGGTCTCCTTAGACCTAAGGCTGCAAGTAGCAGGTCTGATTCTTGAGCTGCCTTTGGGTGCCTGGGGAGTAGGTGGCACCTGGGGGTGCTTTTGCCAAGAGATTCCCCTGCTGGAATGGGAGTCTGTGTGGGCCTTGGGCTGGGGGTTATGGGTACAGTGTGCCACTGTACCACACAGATGGAATTAGAATGTCTGTGTGGAGTTACATTGCTGGAATGCCAGAGAAGATTTGGTGTCTGAGCCAGTTCTGGAGGCTTTGCGCAGATTTCCCTTGTGCAAACTCCCCCAGCCCACACTTGCAGAGTCAGTAGATGGGTTTTTGAGTTAAGGGGCTCTTAAGGATGGTCTGATCCTTCCCCTTTGCAGGCTGTCAGGCTCCCTGACCTGTCATGACCATCCACATCTTCATCTGCCAGCACGTGTGGGGCACACTTAAGCGTGGTGCAGGGAGTCCATCCCCTCCTGGGGTGGCTTTGGCATGCCCTGTCCCTGCCCTGTCCCTGCCACAGCCCTGCTTATGCTGATGCTTAGCTGCCTAGCCATGAGCATGTTTGATGAAAATTAAATGTACAGGCAGCAGAGGTATTTCTAGTCCCTGTTTTTTGCTTTTCTAGGAATTATTACATTTTTTTTGGGAGGTAACAGTTTGTAGATGAGCATGCCATGGTAGGTCTCCAGATAAAGGCAGGCACTCGTGAATTCCTCGAGTGGGAGCAGCTCAGCTGTGCCCTCAGCTGCCCCCAAGAGCTCCTGGGCTTGAGTTTTGCTGAATTTGATTTTACCACCTTGGCTGGTTTCACTGTGGGCATTTGCTTTGGACTTTGTGGTTTTTTTCAAGATTCTCTTCAAAAGAGCCTTCAGAGGCCTTTAGAAATGGGGCTGCCAGTTCTATCCCACCCTGCCCCCTTGCACCCTGGGAAGAAAAGCAGGGACATATTTTTAGAGGATGGCATTGGGAAAATGTGGTACCAAAAGCAGGTGGAAGGAGGTGTCCTTTTAAAGCCTAAGGCAGGCTGGTTGTAGCTATTTAGGGTGCATTCCTGCAGTGGGTCCTGTTACCTGATGTGATCCAGCCCCTGCATGTTTCCTTTCGGGTTGTGCACAGAGGGTAATGCGCAGCTGATTTACCATTAGCATTGAATTATGGATTAACTTGGCCTTGGAGGAAACAAACATTTCAAGAAACGGCAACAGCAGCACTAAAATTAATGAGCAAGAGAGGTAATGAAACACTAGTTCCATTCTAAAAAAAAAAAAAAAAAAGAGCAATGTAAATACAGTAGGGGAGTGCACCAGATTCAAATTAATTAACCTGTGGTTTATAGGTTAAATAATTAAGATAAATTAATTAAACTAACCAGAAAGAAATTACATGTTTAGTTAAACCAAATCACCTTGTTCCACATTACAAGCAAGATTACTGTCTGTCAAGTTCTTATTATTGTCAGTGTAGGATGGGATTTATGATCTGACATAATTATTGTTCTGAGAAATGTGACATAAAAAGAGGTGAAAATAATTAAGAAGTCAGCATAGAGGATGTGTGCTCTGGGTATTAAACCAAATGATTAGAGCTAAAGTAATAAAGAAAATAAGGATAGCATAACCAGTGATAAAAATTAGCTGTAATGAGTAGTAGTAAACAGTAACAAGTATTAATATCTTTTAAACATAATGCCAGATCCATTTTTTAACAGAAAGTTGTGTAATGGCTCTAGCATTGGTCTAGTTGCTACAGGAAAAAAAAGGAGGAAAGGGAGACGTCCTCATTTTTAAAGTGATATTTCAAGGTGATCAAGCCTTATGAATCTTCCAAAACATTTTTGCAGTTTTATTTCTCTCAGTACATCAGCGAAAAGGTGACACATTTCAGATTGAAGATGAACCTAAAGACCTATAAACTGCCAGGTTTTTGTACTGGAAACTGCTAAAGTTCACTCATTTCCTCTTCCAGTAACTTCAATGGGAGTTGTATCATCCCTGTATAACTCCATAACCCTGATAACCAGGTTTTTGTTGTTTTCAGATCACTAGACTTCCCTGTTTGCATTTTTACAGCTACTGACACAGACGTCTTTTAAACTTCCTTAGTTACACTTCCAGCCTTGTGAAAATCTTGTCAAATCATCGAGGTAAATGCAGTGAGCAAAAAAAGGAAAGAATCAGGGACTTGGGTTTGACCATAAGAAATTACATAAGTTACTTTTTTTTTTAGTGAAAACAGAAGGCTTCGTACAAGACTATCTCAGCTCAAAATTCATCTCATGCCAGATTGTTAAAAATGCGTGCACATAAATGTGATCATGCAAAAAACCCCCAAACCCAAACCAAAACAAAAAGAAATCAAAGAAACTAAAGTGCCTGCTAACTAGAATGGTCTTTTTACTGCGCACCAAACTCTCAGTTCCCTCCTGGTGGTCTTCCAGTGCAGGATTAATTAAAGAAAACTCTGCATCAACTATCCTTTCTACTTAAGTCTTGCAGGTTTTTGTAATCGCTTACTGAAGCTATTACTGGAATGCCTTATAGATCAAAATCACTAATTAAACATTAATTCCCTTAAAACATTTTCAAAGCCTTAATTTCAGTAACTTGTAAGTTATTTGCCTGCCACAATACACTGTCTTCTTGTAATCAGTATTTAATAACCTGTACAGTTTTAATCCCAAAGTAATGTATTTAGCAATGACAAATTAAATCGAAAAACCCCACTGTAAATCTAGATGGTACACTGGGATGCTTTTCTTACTATCTTAATTTCTTGCTGAAAAAAAAAAGACACTCCTGCCTTCCTCTAACCCATAAATGAGTGTTATTTTTTGAAGGGAAGATTATCATTCTCTTTTTTACTTTTATATGTAGCTTAGTGAGGGCTGGACCAGATCAGTGAAGAGTCAAATCCAACAGCTTGTAACTAATGTACCAAAATCCTGTGTGATTGAAGAGTGAGCAGATATTCACAGTTTCTCTTTACTGAGATGGTGACATGGTTTTAGGATATGATCCATGATATGAGCATCTTGGGAAAACTCAGCCACTTTGCTGCAGGCCACCACTTTTACTTGCAGGTTTCTCTGCAGGTCGGCTGGGAGCAGAAGGCTCCTGTGGTTGTGGGTTACCATTTATGGAAAGGTTCTTTCATCTTTCTTGGAGAGCTCAAGCCACACGTGCTGACTGGCCAGGGCTTTAAGGTCTGCACTGTGTGTTTTTGCTCAGACTCCACATTTTTCCTGGTGATTTGCTGATGTGACCAGCCCGGCCTGTCTACACCCTTTTCCAAGTGTGCCCTCACTCCAGCCTCCCCCCTGGGCTCTCCTGGGCAGGAAGATCCCCAGCAGCCCAAGGGCACTATCACTCTGTTGTCTGATCTTTGGAAGCTCCTCAAGGAGCTGCTCTGGTATAATCTGTACTCCCTGAGGCTCTACCTGTGGGGAAGCCCCTGCAGCAGGATTTTCATCCCTGATTACAGAACTGGGACCCCACAAAGAGTCTCCCCCATCCCCCACCCCCTCACAGCACCACTTTCCTGCAGGATGGAAAAACTGCTGAATAACATTAAAAAATTGACTTTTAATCAATAGGTTTGTTGTGTGGGAGGTCATTTTCCGTTCTGGTTATCCAGGAGATCAGCGAGCTGCACTTTCCCCAGCCTTGGTCCCTTCACCCTCTCAGCAGGGACATCAGCCCATGGGACGGGTTGGGTTGAGGTGCTGGTATCTCTGATGCCCACAGGTGCCCGACTGGCTTCATTTGCAGTTCCTGGGATGCTCTGCCTGGCCAACACCATTGCCTCAGCAACAAGGCTCTCCAAGACCTTTTTATTGCTTTTAAATCAAGTCAGCAGGAAACTTTTAGCAGATTAAACACCCTCAGTTGTAGAATCATTAGAAAAATCTTCTCTGCTCACAGGATTTTGCAGCTGGATGTGCCAGCAAGGTTTTGCCACATGTGTTGGTCACAATCCCATCAAAACATTACTCACAGGTTTAGTATTTTTTAACCTATCAAGCCCGGCCAATTTCTTTCCTTTACCACCTGGTTACTTAGTTGGGATTTTTCCCTGGAGTAAATCTAATATCTGAGCCTTAAAAGTCATGGATGTTCTAGAGACGATGAACAGAAAGTCGATAACATCTCCCATATGCCAGGTCATCAGGCAATCTTGCATCCAAGTTCCTTTTCTTTATCTCAAAATGACCTTTCTTTACCTAAACTGCCCAGAATTCTGAACATCATTCAGAGAATATTGTTCATTGGCATTGTGGGAGGCAGTAATTGGCCACCCAGCCAGGACACGACACCAATAAGACACCCCCAACCTGACCACCCTTGCCCTTGTGAGGGAATTCCACTGGGTGGACGTTAATTTGGAACACTCCACAGCTGGAACAGACAGGTCCAGGAGGTTCCCAAAGCACCTGGATAACAACTTTCTGGCACAGGGCCTCAGGGAGCTGACCCAAAGAGGTGCCCCTGTGATTTCATACTTGTTCCCAGAGAGGCTCTCATGGGCAAGGTAGCGATTGGCGACTGCCTTGGCCACAGCAACCATGAAACCATCGAGTTTCAAATCTTTGATGCTGCTGGAACCCATCTGGCTCCTGAGATGGACCAGGCTCGGGCAAGCATGGTCGGAAAAATCAGCATCTTCTACTGACTTGTCACCTCCAGGGGAAAGCCACTGGTTGTTTCGAGTCTCTGTGTGGTAAGGAAGGACAATGACAGCTCTCCAGAGGTCTTCGCAAAAATAAAAATATATATTAACAACAAATGAACTGACTTGAATTGGAGACTGGCAGCAGGCACTAATCCTCTGGCTGTGCTGCCATACAGCACCAGAACAGCGTGCACAGAGCCTGCAGAGCCTGGCTGGAGCGGGATGGCTGCAGTGTTTGGGAACCCTGCTGCCCGCTGAGGGCCTGGGCTGACAGCAGGGCGGACGAGGAGCTGGAGGGGCAGTAGGAGCTGTGCAGGGCACAGAGCCGGCTCTGTGACCCTGCTGCTGGCACCTGCCCGCCCGAGTCAGAGGGAGCTGCTGCCCCTTCCTGCTCCCGGGAAACCGTCTGGGTGTTGTGCAAGAGCTCCTCGAACTGGGGATTGACCCAGATCGTGTGGATGGTGATGCGCTCCCAGCTCTCGTGCGACGACCTCTGGTCGCTGCTGTCCCCGCCTTGGGACAGCTTTGTGTGTCCACTGCTTTCCCCCTCGGAAAGCTCTTGCTCGGGGTGGTCTTCCCCATGGTGCAACTGCTGGGGGCTGCAGAGTTCCCTCTCTCCCTCCTTCTCGGCCAAGGCCCTCTCCTTGGTGTCTGGCGCTGCCCCTGCCCGCTGCCCGCCGAGGACATGGGCTGCCAGAGGGATGGGTGAGGGACTGGGGGGGCAGCAGGGGCTGTGTGGGGCAGAGCCATGGCTCTGTGCCCCCGCTGCGGGCACCTGCTCTCCTGAGGCAGGAGCAGGTCCTGCCTTTGCTGCCGCTTGTGCCTCGGGAGGACGAGCTGGGCAGTGCTGCTCTTCCTGTGGCTGCCTGAGGTCCACCTGTGGGGAACGAGGAGGAGGCATGGGATGAGGACAGCTGCCTTGGCACAGCTCGGGCCTGCCCCACCACCCTCCTGCCCCGTCCCTCACACTTTGCCTCCTCTGCAGGCTCGGCAGCTCCTCAGCGGGCTGGGATTTGGGGTTTGTCTCCTCCTTCTTGGGCATCTCTGTTGTGCTCTGCCACAGACACCCCCAGGAGCACCCTGACAGAGGGCTCTCCTGGGAGTGGGTGCCCCAGGGCTCTGTGCCCCTGAAACACCCCTGGGGACACAATGAACTCTGGGCACGGCACAGCCCCTTTGTCACGAAGCGCCCCGGGATGCGCTTCTGTCACAAAGGGACGCCCTGGCACCCCCAACAATCATGGAAACATCTGGAACCATCTGGAACCGGCTGGGTCTGCCACAGGGCAGCCCCTGCTCTCCCCTCCTAAAGGGGAGAGAGCCCTAGTGCCCATGGCCCCACAGAGACCCTCACTCTGGATTTCTGGCTGCCAGTGGATCCCTCTGGCTCAGAAATGACTTGGCCTTGGGTCTTTATTTTATTCCCAGCCTTGATGGGAGCATGTCACGTGGGGGCTCATATGCCATTTTTGTCCTGGGTCTTAACGCTGCTCTTACTCTCAGCTTCATAAAAGTGGTGCAGTCATTAAATGCTTAAAGTGAGCACTTGTAGCTTATTTCAACCATCCAGGTTGGGAACATTTTGGTTATAAATGAACAGACAAGCTTTGTTTGGTCAATGAATTCCTAGAAAACTTGAACATGTCTGGATTAAATAGTATGGAAAGTTTCAAACTGAATATTCAGCAAATGAGATGGAAAAGCCTGACATCCTTCTAGTCTTCATTTGACTAATTTAAGAGAAATATATGAGATACAATCCATCTGAAAGAGAGTCCACATAATGCTGTTACGCTGTGGAGGGTGGCTGCCTTTCCCAAGAAAAATTCTGTGGAGAAATTCATGCCCTAAGGCCTGTATTTACTGCTTGAGGAATAAGTTAGGTATTTTAGGGGTGTCATTATTTACAGGATCAATACTGCTATTTAGCCAGATGGCTGAGCAAGCACAGACAAATACTATCTGCTATAATACATTTATTTGTCTGTTGATCCACCTCTGCACCCATTTTGCTGATCAAATAGATGGCTTGAGCAGGACCAGGAGCAACTCACTCCTAGTTTTACCACATCAGTAATAGGATTTGTCTCACGTAACTTCCCACTCAGAAGCTACAGGAGCTTGAGCAAACGTGGAGCCCTACAGAAAGATCCGAGTGGATTCACCCCATGTATTTTAGGTAGGACCCATCACCTCCTGGGAATGCCTATCCCAGATAAAGGCAGCTCCCATCCCCTCCTGCCTCCAAGTCTCTCAACATCAGAGAACTGTAATAACACTTTAGCAAAGTGTTGCATTACTTAAAGCAGAAGATGCAATTTTAGGAGAGATGTGTTGGAGGGAAAAGGATGGATAGAAGGTTTTTCTGAATTCAGAATATTCAGTGGGGGACGCAGAGAGAGTTTTTCAGATCTGCTCAAGTGTAGAGTACTTCATGTTGGTCCAAGCTGTTGCTTACTTGCTAGAAAAGTGCAATCTAGTAAAAGGCTTCCACTGATAAGAGGGTGACAATCCACAGTCCCTCACCTCCACTCAGAGCAGGAACAACTCCTGTGAGACAGGTGAAGCTCATGGACCAGAAATCAGTGCCAGGTGCAGATGGATCCAAAGACAGAGAAGGAATATATTTTGAAATTTTGAATGAAATGCAGTTTTAAAAATATAAGTGTTATATGGGAGAATCTCTGATGTGACACATTTACTGGGCTGGTTCTATGTCGAGGCTGCTCAGGGGGAGGATATAGAGATTCATGTGCTGAAAAATTCCATGAAAGCTGTGTGGGAGTGGGGGATGCTTTCTGGGAACGAGCCAGGGCATGGGAGAAACACGACAGATTGTTTTTGCAGAGCGAGACAAAGGGCAACACCCCCAAATTTATGTTGTTACCTCCCCATCAGATGGATGGTGAAACATGGGTGTGCAGGGTATGGAGCTGCTTGCCAGGCACCCAGACACCCCCTACATCCAGTGCTTGCCATCATATCAGCCCTGTCATTGCATTCATCACCCACAAAGGTCTGATTTAATGCGCTCAGGTGCCAGCAGCCAGGTTGCTAAAGAGTATTTCTGGGTCGTGGCCAAGCCTGACCAGCCATGGGGTTGGGATTTTTTTGCAATACAATTACAAGAAGACAAAAGAGATGAGGGCTCTCAGTTTTCACCTGGCAATACTAGTTGTCACCCCTGCTGATTAACAGATGGTTTGAAACCATCCTGTTTTTCTGGAGATAGACAAGGACTCTCAGACAAACATACGCAGTGCTTGGGGAGGTCAGTCCATGCAGAGAAAGCAAAACACACAAAATAACAAACCTTTGGTGTCTTGAAGATGATCACCTGGGGTATGTCTGATACAGCTCCATCCCTCCTTGCCCTGAGAATTTCTGGTCCAATTGGCACAGTTTGGGCAGTGCAACAATGTGAGGAAGCCTCCCTGGGTCTCACATGGTGCTTCTCCAAGCTGACATGAGGCAGGAGAGGGGCTGTGTCTATAGCTAAGATTATTAATGTTTTTATCTAGGATCTGCTAGACTGGCTTAGGAAAAGCTGGGCTACATATTGAGGGTAGGAGGGAGAAAAAAATGCTCCCTTTCCCCCTTCCCTTCTCTCTGGGCTAAATTATGGGCTGAGTTTCTCTCCCCTCCAGTCATGAAGGGCAGTTGGCACCAGGCTTGGGTGAGCTGTGATTTGGTATTATCTCAAAAGAAGCTGTCACTGGGTCTAACAGAGATGCTCATTTGGCAAAGCCTGTCAGCATGAGCAGACTGACTGGCCTCAGATGGTTTTAGGCTGCATATAAAGTCAGACAGACAAAGCACTGCTTCAAAGTGCAGAAGAGGAATTTGACTAAAAACCCTCTACTGAATAATCTCGTGACAGGCAAGTCGTGCAAATCAGGTGAATGTAGACAAACAGGGTGGAAACCATCTGTCCAGGCTTGAGAGGGGTGATGGCTTGATGACGGACTGAGGCAGTTCAGACACCTTTGTGCCACTCTGGGTTCATGTTACAGTCCATCAGTGGAGAGCCATGGGCTGCTTAGTGCTCCGTGATCCATTTCCTAACCTGTGGTCCAGCTCCTCCTCTGCAGTTCATGGAAGAAGCACAGAAGGCCAGTTGTGGATGAGAAGGGGACACCAGCCTGAGCTCAAAGGCAACAGCCAGCTGCACAGGAGTTGGATGTGGAGAACTAGAGGGAATGTAAGGGCATTGCTCCAGGGAATAAAGGTGTTTTAGATGGATATCCAGTGAGCAGACGACTTGGTCCCTGCCAGTAGGACCCTTGTTGTTTCTACCCTCCCACACTATCCCATGATGCATTCCATGTCTCTTCTGTGGCTCCATGTGCCTTTTCACATGTTCGAATTTACTTGTCATCTTTGGCTCATTAAGGTTTTTAAGATGACAACTGTGTGAGATCAGATTACGACCCCAGCTTTCCTCTACATAATATTACCCTAATTTGTTTGGTCATAAGGAAGATATAAATGACTGAGAAACTGGCCATTTAAAAACTTATCCGCCAAATGTCTTTGTGTGTATCAGCACACAAGGTATGATTTTCTTATTACTACACAGGTAAATCGAATCAAAATGATATTTTGTCACACACACAGGTGTATGACCAGTGGTGTTTCGCTGTGTTCTCCTCAGGACTTGGGCTCATTCCAAACCCGTGAATAATTCCAGTGAATTTCAACACTGCAAATATTTCTGTTTGAGGGTAAATGCCCCTGTGTGTTTCAGTGGAGTGTGAGAGCAGACAGCTGACAATCCTCTGCGGTGCCCACTGAAGTGGTGCAGCCAAGCAGAAACCCCACTGAGCCGAAAAATGCCCCTTGCTCAGGAAAAGCAGCCTCTGCCTGTGTGCTTCTGATGCCCTGTGGTGGGGCACCTCCCAGAGGGGTTAGAGAGCTGAAGATGGGAGAGTGTCTGGTGGGTTTCCTCTGATACTTGCCCCAGGTCTGATCCAGACCTCACTCAAGGTAAGAGTGCCATTTGTTTTTGTAGGATTTTAAACCTGTTTTTCCTGTTAAATGCACTCAGCTTTTAGAAAAGGACAGTTGGCATATGAGTGAATTCAGCTAAAGAATTTAAGTTCCTGGATTTGCCCACTTCATCTGCCTTGGAGGCAGAGTAGGAGCGTCCAGAAGAGTCAAGCCTGAAAGACCATCCTGGTGTGTACACTGGGCTGGATGCTGGTGGAGGATGTGTGAGGAGTGATGTGGGTATCTTACAGAAGAACTGTATGGGTGTCAGCGTGGTCTGAGCCATGGTCTGAGCTGTGTTCCTCTGGTGTGCAGGAAAACTCACCAGCACTGCACTGGGGATGGCTGGAAGTTATCCTGGTGGACACGCAGGAGCTTTCCTACTCTGAGTGGAGACAGCAATTGGAATGAATGCCCCTCATCCTTGGGCTCTCTGAAAGGAACTCAATAGAAAGCAGCTGGTTGCTGCTGTGAGGTGACACAGGCAGCAGTGCTGGGCAGCAGTGCAGATGTGATGCTGTGGAAACGATGGAAAGTAGAAGCTGTGCAAGGCTGATGTCTGTTGTACCAATTCAGCACAGCGAGGGCACTCACACCAACATGTCCACTGCTTTTTGTAAGGGGCTGTTATTCTGACAATCAAACACTCTTGCCTTCTTTTTCTTTCTACTTTTTTATTTGTTTTAGTCTTTCTTTTAAATTTTTTCCCCCCCTTCAGGGAACGCTTTAATAGCAATTTCACAGGAATTCAGTTTTGGTTTTGTTTGTAATAATTGTTGTCATTGGAGTGAAAAAGAAATCCACAGGAGCAATTACTGGTCATAAGAGAGTGACTGAATGAATTAATTATCTTCAGCTTTGCTATTATTTTCATGTGCATAATGATGGCACAGGCTGGTGCACTGACTACAGTGTGTTTAGGGGAGGGAGAAAAACTCTCTCTGAAAGCCTGTGGGAGATAATTAGTTTGAACCTCCCTCCGAAAATGGTGTTTTTTTCTTCTGTGATGATCTCAGTGCTAAGTCCTGAGGATGAACAGGTTCCTGTGGATGACACCACAGGAGACAGAAGTCATATTACCCTGGGAACAGGGGAAGAATGTTCTTCCCTGACCTTCACACGGGCTGAAGCAACTGTGCTCACTCCTTCACCTTCCAATCATTTGCCTCTCTGCCACAAG